AGAGTACAAAATAGTTTAAATACAACAGGGAATTGTAATCAAACCTGGTACCCATACACTCTTCCGCCTACGCGGTTACCAGGGCAATGCCAGACTGATATTGACCTCATTTTGCTGACACAACAGGGAATTTCGCTATTTGATCGCTATGGTCTCTGTAATTCTTAGTAACCACCCACTCGAAGTTGTGTAAACAAACCGAAAATAAGTCTCACGATTGGCTTCGTGGCCAGTTCACAGAAGATAGTGTGCAATTGATGACGCGGGTGCTCTACGAGGCTGGTTCGATGGTCTGGTTGTTCGTATAGCTGAAATGCAGCGAAATGAGTTCGTAATCAATTCGTGCTCACTCGCAGAGTCGTTCTGTTCTTTGTTCAAGTTCATTTCGGGAAATAGTGGTTTCAAACCGCTTCTCGTCAAATTCTTACTCCTGGGATTAGAACAAACGAAGTGGTAAACGCATCTTTTGTGTACTAGTTACAATTGGGCTTTGATCACAAATTGTGGTTGTGTGCATTGGTAAATCTCTTTTGGTTGTTACTCTTGAAGACAATAAACAAAACACGGTAAACTGATTTAGAATAATGCAGAATAATGGAATTAGAAAACTTGAGTTTAGGTTCTCGAAATTTCAATAAATCCCATAGTTTTCGGGTAAAAAGTGATTTATATAGATTGTTACTGGCTCATTCGCACGCCTCAGACAATGCACATGATTTGCCGCATTTAATTCGTCAATTTCGTTTTCATTATTGAATTGCATGGTTCTCCAAAAAAGGTTTACTACTGCTGACGTATAAACTTCAACAACTTCAGTAGGGTTTCATTTTTCACCAAAAAAGCTTTTTCCAATGACCTTTTACCCATGTGACCTGCTTTTTGCATTGTTCACAATGAAGTTAACGCTTTTATTTCATTTTGATTCTTTCGAGAAGAAGATTTCAGCCAATTGAAGGGTGCCCCGGTGAATGGTTAATTAGGGCGATTGATCACAATGTTTTTTCGCGAACCTCAGATCGATACTTGAAGTAACGTTGCGCAACGGGGTTCAATTTCATACGCTCGTTTTGTCTATTTGTGAGGTTTATTGCAATTTCGTAGTATTGGTATTAATTTCCCTTAGCATAGACACCAATGTCTCATCATGACTGTTGGGTAAACAGGAGTGCCTGTAATGTCTTGTTGTCGGACTGGCTGACGAGGAATGCGGGTATTTTTGATTGTCACTTTGCGTATTCAAACTTTTCAAGGTCATTTATCGATTTACGGTTAATCATACGATGGCACCGAAGGGCGCAGTTCAAAAGTAATTCGTTCTACTGTTGATCAGCTTGAATGTTTCCGATTAGTTACTTGGCAAGGGCATACGAAATACACTCGTTTTATGAGTTGGAACTAAGTTGAAACAAGTTGTCTAAGCCCCTTCCGATGATCATTATAAATACACTGTTGACCGACAAAAGTGTGTGAGGTAACTGAACTCAACTCCGTTTTGTGTGAACAACGTGGTGTAAAACGGACCTTCGCCATAACACTAAGCATATTTGGTTTCTGGATATCAAATGGAGAAATGATGCTTATTTGCATCTTTTTGTCTTTTATCTTTTTACTTCCTTTTATGGAATACAAAATGATGCAATTTTCAGGAAAGGGGAATTGGCCAATCAAAGGGCTGTCGTACAACACATAATGGATAAAGCCAAGCGATGAGGATTGGACCATGAACACACGTCCTCGGAGGTGTTCATCTGGTGATATTTACCGCCAGACAATCACCGTCCGAGTCAGATCCTCACTATCAGAACACCGGGCTCTAAGAGAACTGTCTAAACAAATTTATCCGGTGTTGCAAATGAGATATTTATAAAAAAAATAGTTATTTCATTTTTTGTACTAAAATGACGCGATATAACCTGCGATGTTTGATCCAGTTGATGAATTGTCAAAAACAAACGTCCCCATTAAATTGGGTAGGATCATGGTATTCTCAGAGTAAAATATCATGTGTAACGCAAAATCAGCGTCTATTTTCATTGAATTTCAGATAAGTTGGGCAGTTATGTAACTGGTAATAGAGTCGACGTTACACAGAGCGTTTGCCATTTGGGTTATGATTGCTTGTATACGCCAAGTTGTGCCACAATTAGGAGTGGACCGACAGGTGCCTTCAATCCCCCTCTCCAGGTCTGTAAAACGAAATCATCTCAACCCAATAATGGCAATAATATGCTGATGAGCTGCCTGCCCTCTTTACGATCAAAGGTCAAAATGAGGCCGACATCTCTATTCAAGCTCACGCGATCATTCAATACCAAAACGTTTGCAGTGAGACCTGCCCGGTGCCAGTTTGTGACCTTGAGGCACATTTCATGGTTATTTCCCACACAATTAATTTCATTCTGAACAATACTCAGCATTGTAATCTACTTTGTCGAAAATTTAAGACCGAGCACTACAGGGAACAAAATAATTTAAGGCTGTTCAAACGGACAGAATATTCAAATCGTGATATCAGTCGAACGGTCGGCTGGTTGAAAACACAATCCTTTGTTTCAGCGGTACAGGTAACTATTCCTGAGAATTTAGTGTATTTTCCCTCACTTTAAACTCAATTTCTCTATCCTTATTTGACAGGAACCACCGCGACTGTGGCTTCGTTCTGAGATATTGATTGTACTCTTGATGTACATTAACTAAACAGAAATAAAAAGAGTATTTCGATTTGGACGGACAGTTAGTTAAGACTAGTGATGCAGGATACGTTATTTTCGATTTGTACGGACAATTTACTGAAATGAGCTTATTCGGAAACTAAAAAAGCAATTCTAGTACGTTTATATGGAAATATTTCTTCGAATGTCTAAATGGAACACTTGATTGAATGAAAAGCTTGTGACTGGAGTTATTGGTTAGTATCAATGTGAGCCAATTGACCCAGTGGTACCACACATGCCACCATAGGAATGATGTTCTGACGTTCAAACCTGGGATGCGAGGGGCGATACGTAACATTCAAGTTGTTTATAAAAAAAATTAGAACGAGAACTCCGCCCCATCGTGTGAGAAATCACGTACAAGTCTATCTAACGGTCTGAATATGTGCTTACAATTACATTGCCCGAATGAAATATATCCTAGAAAACCGCAAGCATGTGGTTAACTCAGATAAAAGAAGCATTTGTGAGAAGAAAATCTTGTTCATATCTAGAAGAGCTGACAGTTTCAGCAACGAAATCGTGCACAGTGCGCGGTATTCGAACGCAATGTTTGATGTGCGACTTTGAGAATATTTGGTTCCAACAGGTTATCGAAACCGCCCCACAGATCCACCGAAATCCGCGCTACTGAGAATTTTGACGGTTTTATTCTAAATAGAAATAAGACCTGACGATACAGCAGGCGGAGAGTATCATAATAACACTTTTTTATAACGCTACCTCTTGAGATCTGCTTATCGGGGCATATTCTCCCCGGAAGATTAAGTTAGGTCTCCGTTCTAGCTTCGGGTTCGATTACTCATGTGATATCTCCAGATAATTTAAAAGTGGTTATGGTTCCGACGGTAATGACTCTTCGTCCGTCTTCGTACCAGGCCAAATCTCTCCTCATTCCGTAACAGAACCTTCACCAATTTTCACATACGCACACACAAACACCTACCACGTTTGTCTACTTCAATTCGTACGATCTCCGGAATTGAATCCTCCGGTCTATCATTAGTAGATGAAAGATTCCTCTAACGCTTCACACGATAATTCTCTTTTGTGCTTCCCACCATTGACACCATTGCATCACCCAGAAGAGACTCGCGACACCCCTTTCGATGGCATTTGGTCAATGTATTAATCTCTAACGTCTGTCATGCACTCTGGGACACGAAACTCTGCCTCATGCTCCATCCGAGAAGGATCTGGGAATAGTCATTCGTGCAGACTTGAGTTGCTCTACAAACTGTTCCAGGGCATCATCCATGGTGGTAAAATAGGTTGGACTGCTCAAACGTGTTTTTGGATCGTTTGAGCCGGCTTTGTTTCCAAGTCTGTTAGCCACATATATCCGTCCATACACCGAGCACTCAATTCATGCCTGGAACCCATGGCTGCAGCGAGATCAGAAGGCACTCGAACATTCGCAGATAATGGCTACCAAGATGGTCAAATGTCTACATTCCAAGCCCTATTGCGAAAGATTACAGCTCTTGGGGCTATACTGGTCTCAATATGGTCAAATCAGAGGCGATATAATCTTGCTGTATCGGATTTTCCAACAGCCCAACCATCCATGTAGATCTCTTTTGGTTCTATCAACCATTGTTCATCTCAGAGGGCATCCACGGAAGTTGTCACTCCAAAAGAGCCGTCTCGACTGCAGGCGCCATTAGTTTGCAGTCAGAGTTTGCAACAAAATGGAACTGTCTACCACCTCACGTGATCTGTGCGCCAACATTAGTATCTTTCAAGCGTCAGCTTGATGATGCTCTGACAAACATTATGTTTCTACACCCAACTACATAATATATTCTTCTGTGCTCGTCAAAAACATGCCATTACGCGTTTACGTACATGGACTAATTGTGATCTTGTGAATCGTGTTCCGAACCAAAGTGTAAACACCCTATGGGATTTGATAAGCGAAGTCTTTGTAAGTTTTCTCTCATAATAAAAAAATTGAATTTGAATTTGGAACCACAAACTACCTGGAAAATGTAAATGACTGAGAAAGGCAAACCTGTGTTGTAAAGATGATTGGGTTACGAATTGATTTATCTGCATATGTGGAAACTTTTTTCTTTTTTTTATAGTTTGCTTGTCGCAGAAGGCCAGTTACTAGCAGATAGACGGTGACGTCGTCCGGCGTACTGGTCCATCTGAAAATTGTAGATCTTGATTTATTTCTATCTCCAAACGGTTAATTCCATAAGCCATAAACCTGAAAAATAAATTTTGTTTGTTTATCCAAACTGAAATGATGTGAACTCCGATTTTTTTCCTTCTTCTCTCATGGGAACGGAGGTCAACTGTGTCAGTATTAAACGTGAATGTGAGTAAAGGTCAACTGAATACTGGTTTAAAAGAATGAGTTGTCCTATTGCATCTCATCTTACTTTGGAAACTGTGCACGTAATTGTGTCTAGGCAACTCGATAGATTGGTGCGTAATTTGTTCTGGTAGAGTAGAGCTCTTTTTTTCCACTAACAGCCTATGAACTTTCTGAAGAGACTGAAACTCGATCCGGATGGGTATTGAGTTTATCCGTTGGCTCTGGATGAACTACGATATGTTTTCGAAGATGCGCAGTCGGGAGGATGATCAGTCCAAATAAAAAGCTGTTGTTGCGGGGGTGGCTAATTTCATCAACATAAGAGTCCATCTTTCCCATTTTTGCATTCCTCCAAATAGCCTTTCTATGGCAGAAGCCTCCCTGCTGAAATCTAACTGTACCTTTCTATGCTCAGCAAAATTAGAGAGAAAGTAAAAGCAACATATTCATTTATCTATTGTTTACAGCTGAACACGTTGCGTGATTTACTTTGCATAATAAGTACTATTCTCTATAACCTGTTTGATTGAATTCTTATGATCTAATCAGTACATTACTCTGAACCCGAGCAACTTTGGTTTTACCTTATTTAGTACATTCCACGACAATCAGAACGACGATATATACCATCCTCAAGACCCGCTTCACAAAGCCAAAATCTGTCTCAGTATACGATACAAGCAAATCAGACCTATTATCCCACTGAAAAACTGGAACGTATCAATCCGGAACCCATTTACGAAGAACCACAAGTGGATTGTTGTTTGGCGTCCACCGATCCGTTATTGAGCGGTCCGGGACGAAATGATTGTATTGTGGCCACTGTGTTCTTTATCCTTTTCGTCCTATTGATCCTGATTGGAACAATCACTACTGTGCTGCACTATGCGGCTCGAATTGAATTTGCCACGGAAAATCGTGGTCGAGTCCTCGGACCGGTGATGTTGGGCTTGTCGCCTATCCCGTTGCTATTTATGATTTTTTTCATTTATCGTGCCAAAGCCAATGTGGAATATGAACTGGAACAGCTGGAAATGACCAATTCGGCCCGGCAACGAATTGCTTATAGACAACATCAGGTACGGTTTGTGTTCTGTTAGGCTCGTTTTCCGTACAATGAATGATCTTATGAAAATGCTGTCTGAATTGAACTGTCATGGTTCATGACTCATGAACTGTTTACAATATTCGGATTCATGTAACATTTGTATTCATCTCAAACAGGCTACGAATTATCGTTTCTTTTTATTTCATAATTTCAACTCGCTTGTCTGTTTGTCATATAATCCTCAAATATCGGTATCACTCACTCATGTCTTGTGGTCTCCGTCTACCAATTTCTTGGAAGATCAAAATGTCGCAATATGTGTGACCAATGTGCCAATAGAAAACATCAGGTCATCTATTGATTAGTGATCTATTGATTCTACTCGACGCCATCTCTGCTCGATATCGATAGACCTTACTTGGCCTGCTCGGGCGCGCACGTGAGAGCGAGCAGGCTGTGGTGCTTTGCGATTTGAAGATTGACAAACTGATCAGTCTGGAAATTCGGGAGAGAATAAATTTTGACTCTAATAACAAGCAATCGACACTCTTTCTTGCCGCCCTCATATGCTGTTTATTTACATGATCAATTTTTTCCGGACTAACGCTGGATCTGAATGTTTATTTTTCAACTTCGAGGAGCATAGGGCTACTTTTTTTCGGTTGTTTTCTGAAGCATATTCTCGATTCGGAAGTTGTTTGTGTAATGGACAGCTGAATAAACTAATGTATATGCCAGAAGATTAAAGTGCCTGTCTACTCAATCGCCAGGGTGAACACCAATCAGGTGTTTCACATCTGTTGTTAGTTTGAATATTCACGGTTCTTTACTCAATACATTACAGCATGGTTAAAACAGTCCGCATTCATTGTTTGATTAGCATAGGTGTTTCTGGACAGGGTTAGTCTTTGGTTTGGTGGACGGTGGTGATGACGCAATAAGAGTCATCATCAGTTCGGCACAGATGTTGCGGAGTTGAGTGCCACGACGACGACGATCACTACCACCACCACCAAAACCACCAGCTGTTGTAGGTCATGCAACTGAGGTCAAGAAACATAACGATTTGCGTGTTGACCAGTAGCTACACTTCATCGTTTGGTCAATTCTGCCTTCGTTGATAAAATGAACTACCCATGCTAGATACATATCCTTATTCCCATAGACATTTAGTTCATAGAGTGGTTGGATATAATTTATTTCTACCTTCATACTAAAATTTAATAAGAATACAAAATCCTTCAGATTCGGAAGAGAATTATCAATGTTGGAAGTGCAAACATAATATGAACTTTTTTGTTGGGCCATATAAATTGGCATGATATCAAGACATACGTGCGTATGTATTGTTGGACAAATAATTCTGAACACCCACACAAAAAAATGCGTGCTCGAATTAGTGGCGATTAATTCTCTCACTTTAAACAGACTTGATGCATCATTCAACGTGAGATCATTTGATTAGAATGTTGGAATTTGTGCTTTCTTATCAGCTCAGTCGTTTAATAACTGTCTGACCCAGCTAGCAAATAAACAGATCAGCTCATCCCCGTGTCGTGTTCCTGTCGATGGCACTTGTTGTGATACGTTAGTTCAATAGCACCTGTTCATCTGAGGAAACTTCTTCGGTCGGTTCAATCCAAATCGATGAACAATACTTAAACAACCAGATAGATGTATGAAAATCTATTTTTGAGTAAAGTACCTATAACAGCAAACGTGAAACCGAACTGGTATCGAGGATAAAGATAGAGTGAAGTGGCAGACATTTCTAAGAAGCATCTGTACCGAATACCGGGGCTTCTATTGATGATACGCTTAAATAAGTGAGCAGTTATTTCTTTGTACGATTCACTGCAATTGCGACTGAAATTTACAGATATCAGACAATATATTGTTGCATTTCATGTGGAGATTATAGTCACAACAAACCAGAGGAGAATCAGTAAATTAATAGACTAGTTGTCAAATGTATTACTTATACCAGAATAATGTCATTCATTCACTTTATGTGGAGAAATATGTTTCCCTACCCTGCATGACACAACCGACCATATATCGATCAAACTGTTCTTTTCACCTTATCGTTTTCAGGCCCAACTTGCACGCGAATCTACTCTGTACAGCAGTACCTATTCCGACCACGCTCCGTACCGTGCCTAAGGAACCAAAATTGGAGTTTGTTTGTTTACCGCATTTATCGAACCATGGAAATCCCGGTCAACTGAATACTGTGAAGTGTACAAATATTCACTTTCGGACCTAACCCGTATCACGTGAACATACCATTGATCGATTTCAGAAAGGCGAATTAGAAGGAGAACAATTCTTCGCCACAAGCATGTAACGACGACTGCTTACACACATCAATCAAGGTGGTTGTCTGTCCCCTCGGACAGCAATAATTTTGAACGTTTGGAATGAGAAAATTGTGGCACGCTTCAATTTTCTTTTCTCATTCCTATGTATTCTTTTTAGGGATATTTTAGTGCTTATCATCATCTATGTAAAACTTGTTTTTTTATATTACAAAATGAGAGCAAACAGCATGTTCAGAGGTTTGTATGATTTCACCGTGATCCAAAAGTTCATCAGTCTTGTCTGCAGAAGGTATCTGCCGACAAATCACAGTTTGACCATCGAGAATAAATTTGTGCAAGGACGGGCGGCAAATATGAACAAGTTTGAACAAATTTAACACGAAACAGTAAGCTGATTCGGAACTTGTAGCAGAGTTTCTGCAACTATGAGAGTATAAAAAATTGGATCGACTTTATAGTCGATCCAATCAGTCCTATTTAAATTCTGTCTCAGCTAGGACTTTATAGCTCGCTGTTGTTTGTCTACGTTGAAAAGGCATTTGTGTATTTGTGAAATCGTTGTATTTTACTGAAAGATTTGCTCCAGTTTGCAACCTAACACCGGGGTATGACGATAAACCAAGTGGGGACATTAGATTCGTTCGAGATAATTTTCTGTAAACTAGTGGTATCTGGAAGGCTACCATAGAAAATGACTATGGTTGCATTGTGGGAGTGAGTTGATACTCATGAAATTAACCGCTAAGTCATTAAATGTTCCGTTATAACCAGGTGTTCCTTGCAGTTTCGTAATCGACTGAAGATTCCCATCGTGACAGACAGAACAACCAGAGGAGCGAACAAACTCGTTTTCGATAACTTCTTCCTCTGTTTGATACGATATATTTATCCAGTCATTTACATACTACTTATTATGCTATATATATATATATATATATTGAGAAGGAAGTGAGTACTGAGTGATAGTATTTATTGTGACTTTCCGATCTAGGCTAGGACTCATTGTCAAATGGTAATGTGGGAATGAATTGGGTCTGCTTGTGCTTCGCGCTGTGGTTTGAGTCACCCCTGTTTGTCCATCAATCCCACTTTCCTCATTGGTTGTAAAATCGTTGTGTATTGTTTATCGATTTCCAAGTGTCGATTGAATGAGTTGGTCGAAAGCAGGCAGAATCAGACGTTCCCTCTTCCTCTTGACCCTTGCCATTACTTTTGAGTCATTGATTCTGACCTCGTAGCCTGTCGTTGTGCCGAGGTGTGACTTCAGATCGGCGCGTCATAATGCAAGTGTGTGTTCGTGTAGGCGAGGGCACAGTTGTTTGCCTGTCTCTCCCACGTAACTTTGGTCACAGTCTAGGCACGGAATTGCGTACACCACCCCTAATTGGTCGTGTGGTTCTACATAGTCTTTGACGTTGAACATAATTGACTGCAGTGTTGTTGTGGGCTTGTGGGCAATGGTATATATATATATATGTCTTGATTGGACGATATGCATGTGGTGCAGAGTGGTTGTGAAAGCTGTGAAACAAAAAATCTTTAATCAGTGGTTTAGAAGAAGTAACCGAGATGTAACAGTGATCAAATAGAGGCCAAAACACATTTTATAAACCCATATTCGCAAACCGGCATGTAATTGAGTATTTCAAAGCAACACTCGAATACAGTGCTGGTCAGTATCATCGGGCTTGGAGGTCCTATAACAGTGTCCTAAGTAGGCAACATACAGTGGCCTTAGGAAAAGTGAATCTAAATAAGGATATCGTCCTTGTTAAACCCGAGAAGGGCTCCGGTGTGCCTCTACGACCTATTCTGGACATGAGCGTTTTTCCTTACCATTTGGTTGCGCAATGGTTTGTGGATGTTTTGTAACCTTCTCTCACAAATTAATCACTACAGTCTGAAAGGTATATTTCAATTTTTGGAGCTTATGCGAGACCGACGCATGGATGGTTTGTCTTTGGCGTTTGATGTAGCATCTTTATTTACTAATGTTCCTTTGGGAGAAACAATGAACTATTTATGCAACCTCATCGACAGCGGAATAAACATCTTTATTGCATTGTCTAACAAGAAGGAATTACTACTACACAGGAACATTAACTTTGA